TGCTGTGTGCTAGTTCAATGACAAAGAATGCATGAAATTGAATGATTAGGCAAAGGTAAACTAGGTAAATGCAAATAAAATACTGCAAAAGTGCTGACTTTAATGTCAGAGGGAGAAATTGAGGGTAAAAAAGACGAAGTAGATCAGAGACAGAAAATATGTTTACAAGCTGCAATCCTTAAGGACGCCATGAACCTTTATACGAAGCTCCAATAAATTAAGCTTTATTAAAGACAACTATGAGGATTTAAAGTGCCCTTTCAGAATTAGACAAATCAAGAAGTTAAGATATACAAGAATATAAAGAATTTGAACAATGTAGTCACCAAACTTGGTCTTTGGATTCACAAAGATTCCACTTTTGCAAAATATTTGATAATATAGTTCAGCTATCTAAGTGTAATTTACTAGAGAGAAAGCTGTCAGATATAAGAAATGAGGGCACTCATACAGGAGACTAGCGAACAGTGAGTGTAATAAGAGCTGAACAAACGCTCCTAGAAAATGGGTCGTCCAGACTGCAAGTCCAGACTGGAGTTAACAGGATCAAGAAATTGGGCTCAAAGTAAAGTGGAATCGATTCTTAGAAATGATATGATATGATTAAGATTAAAAGGCCTCTCCATCAAAAAAGATAAAGATGAAATGAGCTGGGCATGGTGGCACATGCCTATAGTCCCAGTACTTGGAATGCAGAGACAGGCAGATATCTGAGATAATTGAGGCCAGCATGGTATACATAGCAAATTCCAGGCCAGCTGGGGCTACAGGGAGATCCTGACTTGCCCCCCCCCCCCAAAAAAAAAAAGATGAAATAAAGACAGGAAAATTGTAAAAATAAAAATACTGGGCTTCAAATGTGAGATAGACAAATGTCACATAGGTTGGAATATTTGGTGAAGGACATGAAGGAAATATTTGAATTGGGCCCAGAAGCATGTTCTTGGGGAGCATGTATCTTGGCTTTTCAGTGAATGAAGAATATTAATCCTTAGAATATTAACTTGAGCAGGTGGTGTCACATAGTAGTTCTCAAGTGTGCTTTTGGAGGAAGCACATATATTCTCTTCATGTTCATGAAACACTTAAAAAATTTATATATTTTGTTATAGAGAAACTTACTGACTTAAAAAGTAGTCTGTAGATTTCATTGTGATTCAAACTGTTGGTATAAATCAACAAAATGTAGTTAAAAGAATCAGCTTTTGGAAATTATGTAATGTTTATCCTTAAATGTCTTTTAAAAAGAAAAAGACCCAAAGAAGAAATTTAAAACTGATGATATAAGTTATTTAGAAATTTCTGTCCAGTATGGGAGCTGCCAGTAATGTGTAAGTATTTAAGCTAAAATCTTGCCTTTGCTTCTCGTTCAAATCCCCTATTCACCAGTCAAGGACTTTCTTTTCTCTCTACAGATAAGAGTTATGCAATTTGGGAGTCTTTTAAATAGACCCACTGAAGGGTACCCCAATTACCTCACCCTGCATCCCTGTGCAGCATGGAAGAAGCCAGAGCAGTCTGCGTCCCTATTCCCTATTGGCAATTTGGGTAACCCCTTCAGAGGAATGCATGATAAGAATAGGAGGTAGGAATTAGCTAGACATTTAGGGTAAAAAGACCCCAAAGAAAAGTAGCCAGTTTCTTGGCTAAAAGCCAAAATGTCCTTGGGCCTCTTAGCAACATACTCTGTTCCAAAGGCCCAAAATGTCAAAAGTATTTGGAAGCTCTTATCGAATCCCTAAAAGACTTTAGGGCTACCTTTTCAGAGGGGGAATTTTAGAGTAGCAAAAAACCCTGTAAAAAAGGAAAGGAAAGGAGAAAGGAGGGAGGAGGGAGGGGGAGGAAGGAGAAAAAGGAGGAGAAAGGAAAAAGGAAAGAAAGAATGAAGTTGTCAGAAAAAAGTGCTGGAGGAGTTGGAGGGGAGGGAGTAGGCATGGATTTAATCAAAACACCTTATATGCATGTATGAAATTGTCAATAAACTTTTTAAAGTTAAAAAAATATTTGAAAAATTGTGCTCTTTAGTAGAGTGAGGCTCATTTCTGGTGCTTGATAGCTGCCCCCTTATATAATGCAGATACACCTTTTCTTTCTAGCAGAAATATCATTGAGGCAAAAATATGTCTAGTAGACTCAGGGGTATTAAATTGAAAACTGAAGTTACTGCATTATTTAAAATAAAAACTGAAAAAAATCCAATTTAAGAAGCTAGAGAAGAAAATAAACTAAAGGGAAGTAAGAGAATTAATAAAAATAAATACTGAAAATAATTAGACCAAAATAAACAAAACCTAGAAATACCAACAATGTTTAGAAAAAATTACTGTTACTTTCCACCTTATTTCCTTGAGACAAGGTCTCTCATGAATCTGGGAGCTAGGCTGGCGCCCCAGTGATCCTCCTGTCTCCACCTGACAGTGCTGGGATTATAGCTGCATGCATGGCCGTACCTGGCTTTTTACAAGTGTTTTGGGGATTTGAACTCAAGTCCTCATGCTTATGCAACAATTGCTCTTACCAATGGAGCCATCTTCCTAGACCACTACCCCTCAAAGTAGAAATATTAAATAGGTAATATACTGTTAAGAGAAGTTTAAAGCTGAGGATAGTGCTGCATTCACTTTTTGTCCCAGTGCTCTCAAGGCTGAGGCAGAGATTATGAGTTCAAGGCTTCTTTGAGGACTGCATAGAGATACCCTGTCTCAAAAGAAAAGCAACAACAAAAACCAGCCTGCCAAATAAAAAACGGGCATGGTAGCACACAACTGTAGTCCTAGCACTTGGGAGATAAAGGTAGGAGGATCAGGAGATCAAGGCCAGCTTCAGTAGTTTAAGTTTAAGATCAGCCTGGGTTACATGAGACTCTACTTCAGAAAACCAAACTAAGCAAACAAAAGAGAAAATAAAGGAATGTAGTTATATTTATCCTGTAAAAAATAAATTGTGCTTTTATTATTTATTCTATTAAATCATGGAAACAAATGGTTTTAAATTCATTTTTTTTCTGAACCTAGTGTAATCTCTATACTTAAATTTTAAAAGACTCAAGTTAAGAATCTGGATGTAGAATTCTTAATAGTAGCTCATTGAATCAGTTACCACTAAAAGAATCACATTTCCTTAGAATGGAAAGATGGTTCCCAATAAGGACGTTCCAGCATGTAATGTGCTGCATCAGTGGAGTAAAAGGTAAAAGCCACATTAGTCAGTTGGTGGACGCAGAAAAACGCCTTTGATAAAATACTTGTATCTTTAAATATAGTAAGCATTCTCATGAAATTATCCAAGTTATGAGAATAAAAATAGCTCTCACCATGCAGGGGTGGGGGGTTGTGAGGGTGTAATGCCTGTTTTTATGCATATAAAAATAGCAGTCAGTGTCTCTTTTGTGTTATACATGATAGAATTGACTTGCACCAAATGGCAAATACATTGAAATTATGAGAGAAACAGTTGTTTTCATTACTGTATTCGTCATCAGCTTTTAAGGGTGTGATTTCTTGAAATATAATGAAAATAGAAAACAAAATAGTGCAACTACTGTAAGAGGAAATGTCATTAAAAAATTACACATACCTCAAAAATCCAGGAGACACTAAAGCTTTGCCAAAATTGTGTGTATTGAATAATGTGAATTTAAGATAGTGACTAGTTCTTCACTGTTGAAATAGCCTGTTAGAAATAGAAAGGAAAAAG